GAATCTCATGTGGATTGGTATTCTTTCCAAATTCGACAATTTTGTTTGTTCACGTACCATTTCATCCAGAAATGGGCCTCATCGCTGAAGTTTATTTTTCAATGAAAATTTGGGTCAGTTGCCAACTGCTCCAGAGCCCATTTAGCGAACACACATCGTTTTCTATGGTTTACCTTCAGTTCTTGGGTCAGTTGAATTTTGTACAGATACAGGCAAAAGTCACAACGCAAAATTCACCAAGTTGTGGTCTGCGAAAGGCCGAGTTATTGTGAGCGACGCGAAAGCCACTACCTCGGATTCTCCTGTACACTCTCCTGCATAGACAGCGGCGTTTCGTATGAGTTTTGGTCAATCTTTTACTGAACCAGTGGACTGCATTTTTTCACCACATAACGAATAGTCCTCTCGGTAGTACGATTATGGCGACCGTAAAACAAGATAGCCGTTATCAATAGTCAAAGTTTCGAAGTTCCTGTTGGAATACCCTATATATTTAACCAAAAAAATTCACAGGTGTCATTCGATTCGAAATACCATTTAGACTAATTTTCGATTTGAGCGAGATTGAGCAAACACATTATTAGAAAGTCGGTGTCGTTGTTTGCGAATATCTCAAAAACTACTGCTGATTTTTTTGAAATATTGAAAAAGAAATCTCAGAGAGCAGAAAGTTTTCTGAGAAAAAGTATAACCTACCAATATTTATGAATTTAATTGATAGGTAAAAATACGGGTAAAATCGGTGTTTCGGACGCCTCAACAAAAAATATTTTTTCAACCCATCAAATATGAATAATGAGATATAAAATATAATTCGTCAGCAAAAAAATCTGTGGCAATTTTCCTCTTCATAATGTTTCTATCAGTTACTATTTCTTTCTAAGGGTTACACAAAAACCTTGATAATTTTTGAAATTGATGCATGGAATGTTTTTTCTTTTGTGGAGCCATTCATTCCGGCATTTAGAAAAATAAAAAACAAATAAATTGATGGATGTAACCGTTACTATATGGTAGGAGATCATCATGAAAATGGAGAAATAAAACTTCTTTTGTTTTTATATCACTTGTATTTGCGTTACTGCAGTCATTACTGGACATTTTCAAATAAGTATTCGTTTGTTTCATTCGTCAATTTTCATAAAAAAAACAAATTTGTATTATCTATGAACAGAGATTGTGGAGTTGGCCGCGGTGGTTGTGTGCCCGACTCACGATCGGAAGGCCATGGTTTCGATTCCCGCCTCGACCAGATATTTTGCTCGAAAGAATTTATCTGGTTGGAGCTGGNTTAGATCGAAAAGTTGGGACCTGACCCAGGTTCACATAGCCGTTGACTGAAGGAGTAGAATGAACCATACATATTATAACTAATCGGCTATCGTTCGATCATTCCTTGATCTCACAGATCGGTAGGGGCATCTCTTCAAGGAATTCAAGTCATTTCCAGACAAGTGTTCCACGTTTGGGCTGCACAACCGCAGTAGGAGTACCTCTAATTCTCACTTGCCTGATATACCAAATTTAAGTTGGTGACACCTCAGTGGTGGTGTTCTGTGAAGAGTCCGAATCTCAGATCTATTTGGCAGTAGTGCAAGTGGAATCAATTCTCAATATGCACAAATAAAAAAATTTACTTTCAATATAAATGTTGTCAATAAATACTGTTTTCATCTATTATTGGAAATACGGTACCAAGTTCATTAGATTAAAAAAAAATGTATTCAATAGTAGTGGAAATTATCATTGGACAGTGTTTTAGAAATAAATCACCTTAAATTAATATTTATTACTTTCACTGCCAGGAGAAGAACATTCTAATGCCATCCCGTAATAAAATATCATGTAACTTTGACTTCTGAGAGAAGGAAAATTATTTGATTTCAGATAATCGATACCATACACTCAGTACTTATTTCCCATTCATGTTTTGACAATGAGAAAGTAAGCAAAAACTATTTAGTCGTTTCTTATTGCTGATATGATATGAAAAAAAGTTTCAACAGTTTTGTTTACTGTCTGGCTTTAGCAAATTGTTGTCTGACTGCATGAAATAGTTGTCATGCTAGTCTTCCTTTTCTCTTCTCGTATAAGGCATTTGCCACAACCCACGAGCCCACTTTAGTCATTTAAGGGTAACGATACTGCCGATACTTTAGCCAATATTGGAAGAAACCATCCACTCCCTAATCATCCTCAAGCAAACTATATAGAGTTTCAAGCATTATTGAAACACAATATCTGGATAGGCTGGACCAATCAATATAGCGGGGACGGACAACTCAAAGCCAAACTTTACTTTTTCTCTGTACCACAACCTTAGAAAACTCCATGGTTCAAGGATCTGGCTACTTGTTCTCGTAAAGAAATCGTCAATGTGTGCAGAATTAGAAGCAATTATTCCATCATTATAGCGCATCTCCACAAACTTAAGATAGTTGATGGCGACACTGCGATTGTGGGGAAATACAGACTGTCCTACATATATTCTTTGCCTGCCCTAACAATTCTCACAATATTACAAATGCTTCATGCCTCTCTCAGCATCTTTCCTTCAACAATGCAGCCCCTTACCTTCTACGATATCTTTTTCAAACATATATCACCATCTAACATACAAACCATATCCAAATTTCTGATTGCATCCAATATAAAGCTAACCATGACCTGATCGTAGTGTCCATACACGTAACCGTAGTGCATCACCTCACATTAGTGTTTACACTCTAATGCAGTCAGACATTGCTTGTTAATTGACTTCAAATTACAGGTGAATTTTGTTTTAGCGCAAACCCAGGTGGGGTTTGGGTCCAACTCAGATCCACTTCAGTGTGGGCTCCACCTGTAGTAGCAACATGATTCTGGAACTCCTGGCTGGATAGCCCTGGCAGCTGAAGTCATTAATGGAAATAAGAAGAAGAGCCCTTTTTTTTGGCCTTCTCGACTACCACGTCCTTCGTCTTCGCTGTCGAGGTGATTTAAATCGAGTAATCGACTTCGATTTTAGTCGTTCTCGCTGACGCTTACCATCTTCCTTCTCTTATATTAAGAGCTCTGCTGAGCCTACGCGTGAGCTTTATTTATATCACCCTCGGATCAACTTCATCACGCGTCCTTCCCAAATTTCTGTTAACACTGGTCACCACCAAACTTTTCATCTCCTGAAGACGCCAATTAGGTTGATGTAATGTGCGTTGAGAAAAGTATTGCATTTCTGATGATTCGGAAAAGTACTTGGTTTTGGATTTATTTTATGCCAGAGGTTCCAGGTTTACCTTTTATTGTTTTGATTTTAATTTTTATTACAATTACAACGCATTTGACGCGCGATGTTTGTATGTTACCTCGGGTCGAATCTTACAACAGAATTTTTAGGCAATTTTCTTCAACCAATCGAGTTGAAGTTTTGCATACACGTTTATTTGAGATGACAATGCATGGTTATCAGTGTCGTTGCTTTTCGAGTTTGAAAGCCGTGGGTTTTTGGAATTTCTTCCTGACGTTTCACTGGCGCGAGTGGCTAGCTTCTTCAAAGGTTTTACCATCATGGTTTGGTGTCCGATGACTACCTTTTAGGCTTCGTGAAGCGTATGTATGCCTTGTCTGGTAATCAGTTCTATTTGTACCTGAATTTGTACCTGTATTCGTACCTGCACTTGAACCTGGAACATTAACAATCTTGCTGCCTGTTGTCCTGTTCGTTATTCTCGAATTCCTTAAAATGGGGTTCCATATTTGATTGAGGTTCACCGCTTCTTCTTTTCTGTTAAAATTATCCGTGTGTTTGTGGATCTCTATTGCCTCCCGTACCAGTCGGCTATGGTATCCCTGATTGGGGGCATTTAGTTCTATGTTCTGTAATTCTGTAGTTCAAGTGCAGGTACGAATACAGGTACAAATTCAGGTACAAATACAACTGATTACCTGACAAGGCATAAATATGCTTTACGAAGCCTAAAAGGTAGTCAGCAGGAACCCATGATGGTTAAACCTCTGAAGAAGCTAGCCAAACGTCAGGAAGAAATTCCAAAAGTCTACGGCTTTCAAACTCGAAAAGCAACGACACTGAAAACCTCAGCCGTGAAAGTCTAAACCATTTTGTCAATGCATGGTTAGCTAAGTGACGCCATTCTATATCCAAGGCAAACCAGACTAGTTATTTTTATGCACTTCCCTGATACGTGCATGAAATGAAAGGATGCTAAAAAGAATACGAAAAATGAAGTGGCATCTTTTTTCTGATTAATTCGGCCGTAATGATGAATATCCATAGTAATTTCATAAACTACACCTAACCATTTGATCTTCACAAACTTTATTTTCGAAACTATCACATAATTCGCTAACAGTAGCTTTTTCATAGTGAATAACATACTAGTCACTACGAAAAAGCTTCTGTGTTAGGAAAACATGTGATATTTTTCAAAATAAAGTTTGTTAAGATCAAATCGTAATGTGTAGTTAATGAAATTGAAATGGCGTCATTCTAAATTCAATATGGCGGACTGTTTTTAGGCACCCCATGGATATCAAGGATACCAAATGAGATGGTTCAGAGAAAAAATTTCAAAATTCCAATTTTGAGAAGTTAGAACTCGGCATAAAAAAAAAGGGACAGTTTAGTGGTGCTCTACCAAATGTTGAAAGGGCAGACTATGCAAGAATGACGTATTAGAACAGAAAGATGTCCTGTGATAACTAAAACATAAAAGATAAATCAATCATTTTCAGAAAAAAACTTCAATTGAGATGTTCTGAACATAAGAAAATTAATTTTGAAGTGAATAAAAACCCATAAGTTTATTGCATTATTCAATTTATATGATAAAAGTTCCATAGATCATATCGCGAGATTCCCCTGTGTAAAGTGAATACAAGCCTGTTTTTTATTGATTAGGTATTTATTGTTTTTATTTTCGTCAATTATCGATTTCCAACACTGCTACCGTCAAAATGTAACAAAATTCGTGTTCACTTCAATAAAAATATTGAAACAGATACAAAAACAATTTGTTCTAACAAAAAATATTCTAGAAAAAGCATATGTGTATATATGCGTTTTGAATGAAAATAAAGTCGCTTCCTTCACGAAGATTTTTCACCAGTAGGCGTACCAGAGCATCTGTTACAAATATCAAAACTGACTAATTGCCTCTCAGATAGTCGGCGTTGAAAGACACTTGTTGCTCTTTTATTTCATTTATTTCCTCCCAGTCAGTGGACAAGTGCGTTCGTAGTCTTAATCGAATGAAAACAATTAAAAATTTCAATTCGCCAATTAAAAGTGGAATTAATACGACAGAAATTTGTGTCGGCTTGAACTACAGTATGGAATTTTTGCAGTTTCCTAGTCAAATGAGTGAACATAATTTCAGAAATATGCAACAAGGAAAGCGAAAAAAGTCGTGTCATTTTGTTGAAGGTTTCGAAGACTTTTTGGCACCAGTAAAACAGAGAAGTCAAGCGAACGCGAGGGAGAGAGATAGAACACACAGGTACTTCAATTATCATCTTGATTTATAGAACGGAATCGTTTTATTTCATGAAATTTGAATAAATAGTAAACTTAGATTTTGAAAAATACAATAGGTAATATTAAGCTAAAAACACTTCATTTGCGTGAAGTTTTACAACCAGAGTCTTAAAAATGAAGGAGATATTTACAAAACATTAATAGTACTTATTTATGGGATGTATTAAGAAAACACACACAACATAACTGTCCGGTCCCAAAAGTGTAAATAAAAATGTGGTAATTTGCTTCAAAATGAAGGAATTTTATATTTGAAACTTTAAAAATGGCAGAATTCTTATAGTTTTATCAAGTACATGATTTCTAGGTGTGATAAGAGTGGCAACAGAGTTTGAAACTTACTATACTGTTTCCTAATAGTAAAAAGTAATGAATGCTCATTTTGAATGCAAAACACTATCAAGGAAAAAATCAACATTTTTCAAAGACTCGTTCAAGGTATTTTGACATCTTTTGCTTCAAATGTGGTGTTTCTTCTTGAAACTAAACTCTTTACTTGAGCTCAAACGAGACCAATGGGATTAACTTCGCGATGATGAGAGGGTAGACGTTGATTAATAATATTTCCTTTCTGTTCCATATTGTCGATTACTCCGCAAAATGAGATTTATTTGAACATACTATGGACCATAGTTCTTCCATAATCATACTTTCATCAAATGGTATGTTTTCTGTCGAACCCACTCAGTGATACCCGCTTTTCTCCTTGAATTATTTGGTATTGTTTCAACTTTTCTGGAATGATAACTTGCATTATCCATCACGTTCAGAGTAATTTGGCATGAGGTCAAATATTTTGTCAAAATATTCTTCAAATACATCGCCGTTCTTATCTTCATGGTAATCGCCAGAACTCATTGACTCAAACATCAATAAACCGCCCTCAACAAAATCATCAACACTTCCGAAATGGGTAATACTCAGTTGCTTTACTTTTATAGAAGGCGTCTTTAATTCGGTAGAACAACCTTCTTGAAATGCTTGAAACTTGGTGAGGTTTTGTCTTGCTACATCTTTCCAACGGTATATCCTTTAAGAGACCAAGTTTCATCCAGATGATGAATTTTTCTATTCTCTGTTAGCTGCCTTGGTGATGTCAACTCCAGCAAATAATCTCATCATTTTTGTTCAAGAGCGAATTTTTGTTTAGTTGTTTCCAGCTGAAGTTTGATTCTTTCGAAGTTTTCCACAATTTCTTTCTGGCTATCATTGGATACGTACATCGGTCTTCTTTAAACGCCCCCATTATCTTGTCGAGGATGGGTATTCCATTTTTGAAATGATTCTTCTGATTGCAAGTTTATAGTTTTTATCAACAGCGCTTCTTATTAAAGATGGTTTTGGTGATTTCCTAGCTTCGTTTTTTTTCTCATTCTTGAATTTATATATCGATGATTTTGTTAACAGAAAAAGCCCATTTGCTCATTTTTCACTGGAGAGAAAAATGAAGTAGCCATTTTAATTCACACACTATGTATAATTTACTGATAACACTGATCAAGACGCATGGGCTTCATAAATAGTTCATTTTCCTAAAGCAATCAAGTACCTAATAAAAGCACTATTATATCAGATCGAATCATAACGTCATCCTCTTTTCCAGCGAAAATTGAAATGTCTGGTATCCAGCCAGTTGTATCGAAAACAGCATTTGCAGGAAATTCTTCTGTGAAGATTTCTGCACTGACACCTGTTGGATATAATCCAACTTCCTTCGTGGTATCAGCCAGGGGAATATTTGTTTTCTGATAGGTGTCAGTCTATTAACCTACAGTGTAGGTAAGTCGAGACTAGCCTGAACGAATTGTTCTTTTAGTTAATTTGATCAGCAGCCAGTCTTCAAGTATGCCTACTGAATATATGTGAAGCTTTTTTTCCTTATACGAGAAATTGGGCGAATTTTGGATATGCGGCTGGTTAGTACCTTCTTTAGTAGATGGAGAGATGACAAATTTGTTGTTTGTCGTTCGCTGCAGCTTGGTTAGAGGATTGATACTCTGAAAGGAATTCGATTTTTAATTATGGATTTCATCAACTTAAAGTTGATGATGGCCACTACCTTGCACTGACGAGAGACCAAATAGCCCAAAATCGGTCGGCAAGTGTGCCCGTTCCTATAATTGAGAATCGATTCCAGCAGTTGTGTCGCCATAAACATATGAAGGAAATACTTCGGTGAATATTCCTGCACTGACACCTGTTGGATATGATCCAACGCCCTTCGTGGTATTAGCCAGGAAATAGTTGTTTTCTGATAGGTGTCAGTCCATTAACCTACAGTGTAGGTGAGTCGAGACTGGCCTGAACAAATTGTCCCTTTAGTTAATTTGATTTACAGCCAGTCGTCAAGTATGCCCACTGGATATATGTGAATGATACGTACACGATTAATTTGATAAGATGATTCATTCCATGTATGGTTATTGTATGCCAACGATTGTTCTCATGAGTTGAAGAATTACACAGCAAATAGAAAATATTTTTATCTATTTGCTGTGTAACTTTTCAGAAAGCGGTTGCCTTAGAAATGATGTACCTATTTGTTGATATTCATGTTATAAAAAATGGAAATAAAAGTAATAATTCATTTGGAAGAAATAGTTGATATTGGACTCGTAGAGTGGGAATTGCGATGTTTCATTACTTCTTTTACATATATTTTTTTTTGTGAAATATCAGATTGTTGACCCTGAACTGAACAACAATCTCAACATTCTTTCAAATCACATTGAATTGTGGTACATTCAATATTTTATTAATTTGAAACTCATACTGGGTTTTCACTATTAATAGTTTTGATAGTATAACTTAATAAATCAAAGCAAACATTTCAAAAATTGACTAAATTTGCACGCAATTCACGTCTATTATGATTCAGAACTTTCTGATCTACCCTGTATGTGAGTATATCATTTTCAGACAAGCGAGAATGAACAAAAAATGGCCATAGAAGATAATTCCTGCCCAAACGTTTATTTTTTCTGGATATTGGGTATGTGTTTCCCGGAAAACGTGAGGGTTGGTGTCACTCCAATAACGGGACTTTTGTCTGTGAACATTGCCATTAAAAAAAATGTACATTCGTCACTGAAACAAATATTGTGGAGATAGGTAGGATGCCTTTCAATGGTTTCCGTCATGACTTCGCAGAATTCTGTTCTTCGATCAGGGCCACATTCAGTTAATTGGAGTACCATTTTAATTTTGTATGGATGATACCTATTCCTCTTCAAAAGTCTCCACACAGTAGAATGAGACACCTCACGAACATTCGCGACGGAATAAGTCGCGATTATTTGCACTCGCTATTCTTCCGGAATGGACGGATGACCTGGGGGCTTTTTGTTATGTACACTAGCGGTAGTTGTGGATTTGGATACAAGTTCCCTGAAATATTTTCTACAGATAGGTCGATTCGGAAAACGTTCATTGAAAATTCTTTCGGTCTTGTGAAAGTTATACGTCGCACCGTAAATAAAAATCGCTTCAATTTTTTCTCACAATGGACGAGAATTGACCATACCTTTCTACTAGTAAAACCGAAAACTACATGAGGATATTCTAACTGAACAATGATGTTCATTGTCGTACTGACATTTTTTGTCGTTTTTGTAAACAATTTGTTAAGAAATAACTTAACAAACCTTATCGGGTTGTTGGAATTGCCATATGGCAGATAAAAAGGAATATTTCTAGAAATATCGATATTAATGTGGCCGAGTCGCCATCTTGAAAGTTTCATCTGTCAATTTCATTTCAAAATGTATTAATTTCATTATCCCAAATCTCAATTTTTTGAGTTGACCCGCTCAAAAAATAAAAGGGAGAGGGCTTTAAAAAATGCACTGTATACTTTATTTATGACGGAAATTACCTCATTGTTGATATAATATGCGAAATATCTGCAAAACTGTCAAACATAAGATAAAAAATATAAAATTGATCGTTTCTGCTCACCATGAAATTCTCTACAGAGCAGATCTTGTGTCATTTGTAAAAGTCATAATCTAGGTGAATTCCATGATAATGTAGGTAGATCCTTTTTAAAAGTCATCACAAATGTGAAGAACTAGAAGAGTTTTCATTTACGTTGTTTCTCTGATAGTTCAATTCCTAAATGTTATACTATATTTGTTTTCTGCAATTAAATACGGACTCAAGAATTTCATGTCTGCAAAATTTTAATCCTATCGATTTTTGTAATACATCCGTTGCCAATTGGGCTACCCGGACACTGGCAGCCGTTTTAATCTCAATGAATAAATACTTCAGTCGCGGTTGAAATTCTAGCGCACACTAGCAACTGAATAGTTGCTTAACTTTAGCTCCAAACTGGATATCATCGTTTCATCGCATGCGTATGTCTTGTTTCAAGTAACAGAAACAGCATAATCGAAATTGTTGTATTTTTTTAAGACTGATTTATACAGTTTATTGTATGATTTTCACTATAAAGGGTTTTACAAAAACCGCGATACGTGTTTCGTTATAAAGTGGCTTCCTCAAGCGTAAACTGTTTACGCGGTTTAAAACCCTTTTTAGTGAAAATCATATAATAAACTGTATCAATTATGTTATAATATACAGTGTGACCCATTTAAAATAGAACCACCCCTGTAGAATGTGCATTTTTCAATCAATCTCAATTTTTTTTTATTTAAATATTAAGCATGAAAAACTGTATCTTGACACTAACTTTCACAATTTTAGTTTCATTTCCAAGGCACTCTATGGTTTTTTTTGTTTGTCAAAAACGGCAAAAGTTTATTAGGCAATTTTTGTTTTCAAATTTGACTACACCACTGGATTCGTAGTCGTTATAAATCAAAACTGTCAAATTTTCATTAAAAAATATTTGTTAACAACGAAGTTACAACAACTTCAATTTTGGAAACAAAGTATTTGTTTGTAATTTTTATTCAGATTATAGACATATTTGAGATCTGACAACACTGTCATCAC